TACCATTAGGATGAAATTATTGTGTCTCCAACATTTTAACGTTAGACATAATTTTAACAGCCTCTGTAAACTAATATCCTGGCTTGCTTGAGGCTTTTCTCTGACACTTTCAATCAAAATTATCTGTCTCTGGGAGACTGAGATAACTAATAGTGCTGCATGTTGTGCAGTATCAAAACACGTTATGGCTACATACAATTTTAGACTGATGTGGGCCAAAGCCTAGCATAGCCTGTAACGTTATTATGACGGACACATTTTATGAGTGAGCTTGACTTGAAAAACACTTTCTTATATCCAGGTTTTTCCTTTTTGCTGCCATCCTCCTCTCCTCCTCGCAGCGCAGGCTTGCCGCTACTAAAACTAAACAGAGCTCCCTGAGAGGCACAGCCAATCACATTGGCCATATTTGTCACATGAGGTAGGACTCCAGTAGAGAACGTAATTTAGCTCTTTCTGCACCGCTGGGCGAATGAGACGTTGACAGATCTTTTTTTTTGTCTATCTGTTTTTTTTTTCTTTACTCGAAGAGATCAAATTATTGGTGGGGACAATTTAATAATCGCTGGATATTCGTGGGGACACGTCCCTTTCATGCCAAATCTATGCCCTTGGTTTCATGCATCGGTTAAAACACTTGACTCCAGCTACACGACGTCGAGCTTGAAACACTTCATGCAAGTCGAGCTGCCCGAGATTCACAGAATTTACAGAAAATTTAAAGTTTTTGTGATTTATATCGTTATCGGACGATAGATGTCTTACATCGGGATATGAGATTTTGGTCATATCGCACAGCCCTACTCCGTGCTAAAATACGGAGCTGAATCTGTGACGCTGTAGGGATAGTCACAAAAACCAAACAAACAAAAAACAGAACATATCAAAGGTATCAGACTAACATGAGTTCTCTGAACACATGCAGCCCAATTTTTGGTTAAATGTTGCTAATTGTTAACTGTGTGGTCGCTCAGACAGGCTGCATATGTGCAGCTCTGGAGGGAGAGGACAGAATGAGACACCATGGAAAAAGTAACGCGTATATAACCAAAGGAAGTGTGCCGTATCATATTTATCCTCTGTCAGATACAGCAATAAATGGTTTATTTTGATTAGCTGACAAAAACGGATGGATATTGTCACGGCCAGCGGGGGCAGACCGTGTAGAGAGTGCGTGTGGTGGACCCAGGCGCGAACACAGGCGAGGAGACGGGAGTAAACTTAAACTGAAAGCGAGCCTTTATTTGGGCTGGTGCAGAAGGAAGTAGACAAAACATAACAGGGACAGAGACTGCAACTAACCAAAAACCTAAACTGGAAAAACACTAACCTGACAGAAAAGAATAACTATGACCACTGTGAACAGAATGCTGTGCAGATGCATTGAAACTGTGAACCAAATGGCGTGACGAAACAGACATGAACATGACCTGCACGGAACCTCATCGTGCGGCTGCATGAAAAACAACATAAACCAAATGGCAAACATGAACTGCACAGAATCCTGAAAAATAACTTGACTAGAGGGGAAGTAGAACAGACGACGCGACACTGACACAAAGACACACTGGGCTTAAATACACTGAGGAAGTCATCAAGGAATTAGAGACAGAAGGGGAACACAGCTGGGAGGAATAAGACCTAATGAGACGGGGGGAACAAAGCTAGAAACACTGACATA